TTTTATCTCAAGGGGCGCTTGTTCCGCTGTTTTTCTTCATGGCCATTGTATTATTTACCGTGGTACGTGGGTCGCAACCAAGCGCACCTGAGAGGTAGGGCCCGGGGGGGGGGGCTCCCCTTCCCCGTCCCCCCTGGCCACCAGCAGCGGGATCAGCGCGAGCAGGGCGTCCAGCAGCAGGTGCACGGCCAGCGGTAGCGCGAAGAAGGACCTGCCCAGGTGTCGGCGCAGCTCGATCGCGGCCACCAGGGTCACGGCGGCGGAGACGACGGCGCCCAGGCACAGCAACCCGCACAGGGTTTTCCACAGGAGTCGCAGGTGTCGCCGGAGCAGGGCCGACTGCGTCTCGCTGCGCTCGAAAAACAAAAATTTGCATCGAATGCATGCGAATCGATGGGTTATGCAGACGGATGTCGTTTTGTGTTCTTGAGATCGGGTGTGTCGAGTTTTTTTTTAAGTGTGAGGGTGCACAGTTAACGCTGTGCTCGGGTGCCTCTTTGCCTAGGACAAAAATCAGATAGGCCGGTGAGTGGTGAATATGCTCGTGTGTGCTGGGCTGTGTGGGCTAATCTGGGTGAAAGTGTTGCTACCTCTGCCCCGGGTGGAGAAACCGCTGCGCTCCTGGTTTCTACAGGAGTCGCAAGCATTGCCGAAAGAGCGGCCAGACTATTCTACCGGGTAGTATGCCACTATTCTACCGGGTGGTATGCCTTAACCTTTAGGTTGGCCGAGAGGGGGGGGGGGGGGGGGACAAGCCCAGTGCGAAAGCGGCTTGCTGGCACAGCACCAAAATAGGAGGTGCTTGAGGTGACATAGGTCAAATGTGTGTACCCCAACCATTGGGCGGAAATCAAACGTTGCTATGCTGCTGCTGTTTTTGCTGTTTTCGGACGAACCAAGCAGTGATACCAGTTACCCCTGGGGAGAGAGGGTGTTGCGGGGGCGGAAATTCAGACCACCAAAGCTGCTTGTACGTTAACGCATCTGCCGGGCGGCGAGCTCGCTTGGATGTTGTCTTGCGAACGAACGCGCCAATCGTCACACAGCAGGACAGCAACCAGAACAGGAGGAAAACAATTGTAAATTATTCCTTTTTGAGACAATTTGCCATTCTACCTGGCTCGAGTCTAAGCTGCCACATCCTAGACCCCGATCTATTTCTGTCTACATACAAAGCATTGTTTTCAGCTGTTAAGACACCAGCATCCCTGATGCAGGAAGTGAACAGGGTGGCGGGGGCGGCAAGCCTGTCTCGCCCTGTCTGTCTGTCTGTCTATCTGTCTGTCTCTGTCTATGCCTCTCTCTCTCTCTCTCTCTCTCTCTCTCTCTCTCTCTCTCTTTCTCTCTTTCTCTCTCCCTCTCTCTTTATGGCGTCACGCAACTACCTCTTGTTCGTGTTCGGAAACTCACCGCTTCCTTGCCCGTCTGGCTCTCCTCTTGGCTCGAACATCATCGTCGGCTGCCAGCAGAGGAGCCTGGTCTTCTTCTCCCTCTCCTCCTCCTTCTCCACGTCTCTCCTCCCCTCCATCGCTATGTCCGTCGTCGTTCTGACGGGGGATGGGGTCAATGCATGTGTGGGAAGTGCGTTAAGGGGTGTCGTGAGATGAGGGCGATTGCGCTTGACTATTGCCGTCGTACATGGCCGACAGAAAAACTATCTCAAGAGGGGCAGACAAACAGAGAGAGACAAACACACAGAAAGACAAAACCGGTTATAGATAAAAGAGAGGCGGGTAGAGAGACAGAAAGAGAGGCAAAAACAGAGCCAGGCATGGCAGCACCACCTGGTCGGTGCGAGAATGCTGGCTGGGATACAACGCCACCAAACCCGCGCATCGTACTGGCGCGTTCAGGAGACAAGCTACCGTTTGTTTGCCCGACAACGCAGACAACGGAAGACGTACTTGACGGCAGGAAGTGCCATGGAATTCCCTAGCGGCGCCCAGCGCACGGTTGATTTGTTTCGAGTTGTGTTACCGCCGTGTGTGACGGTAAACATCAGCCCCCCAAGCACGGTAGCTCCACAGGAGAAGAGTTGCCGGCGTTGGCACATGGCGATGATGAAAAAAACACTGTCGATAGTATTCAGAATACGTGCAGTTTGGCACTGACATTCTCTTTAAAAAAAAATGGGGCAAAGACCTTTGAGATTGGTCTTACAGCGGGTCTGGTATTGACACACATTGGATGCGGAACAACTCACATGCGCGAAAGCAATATTTGCGCGCAGGTTTGTGGTTGTTGTGCACATCCCGATAGGTGTTACCATGCAGCAGCCGACACAGCTAGCGATGTCGGGGGATTCCCCTGCCAGTTTAAGTGCTATCAGATGGAGGCGTGGTCGGTACCTAACAGCTACAGCGGTATAGCTCTCGGCGTGTACAATAGCCGCAGGGAGAGGAGAGGCGAGAGAGGGCAAGAACATATATGTACGAAGATACGATCCCATGCAATCGACCGAGAGCACGAACGAGCTGCACTGCTGTGTCTCACCAGGGATAGCTCTGCGAGCTCGACGCCTTCCTCGTCGTCCACCGTTATGGCCATGGCTCCGTTGTGGTCATCACGGGCAGCGCTACGGGAGCTCGGCGGGCGGCGCGGGTGGCACTCAAACCATCCCCAAAAACGCACACAATACGAAGAGGCATGCTTTCTGCTGACATTCCAGCGGCCTCACCTTGTCTGCTGTCAAAGAGTAAACCATTGCCGGTTTGTAACACGCTTTTTGCCATCCTTTCGTGATGGCGCGACAGATGCCCATCACAGTACTCTATCGGGAGTCTGGTTCAGGATGCGATGAGATCCCTATGCGGGTCGGAACGGGCGCTCCCCGTGAAGACGCCGGGTACAACGCGTTCGAATTGTTTCTGGTAAGAAACTTGGAATACATGTACAATGTAGAACATCTGGGTTTCTCTTGAGCAGAAGTGCGGCGGGATACGGTGCTTGCGAAAGCGGTTTGTTCCGCCTAGCTGCTGGTAAATAAGTCGCCTTCTTGATAAATGAGGAAAGCAAACAACATGAAGACGCTTGCACGCATATGGCCTCCCTCTGGATGGCGCGTGACTGCCGTTTCGTGAAAAGTGGCAGAGCTCGGCCACTCCTGACTCCAAGACTACTGCTGTACTCATCAGAGAGAGACCTCTTATGCATACAGCAAGTCTTTTGTAGCTTCGGCGCACTACTGCTGTACAGCAGTAGTCAAACTTGACTTTGCGAGGCAAACCCTCCCCTGTGCTGAAGCCTTAAATTTTCTTTTTGACACGCACGGCGAACTTTCCTACCTTGTAGCCGTGCATGCTCCATGATCGACGAGCCATCACAGATTCGGATGGACTTTGTGCGCGCATCCCATCCGCCCCCTCTCCTACCTTCAGGCTCGTTGGCTCGTTAGGGTAGTCTCTGGTTGATGATAAAATAACACTCTGGATGTCCTCCCCCCCCCTCGTCGAACCATCCCCCCTCGGCTTTGGCATGTCCCCATGCCCGTCCCAGCGTTGTAAGCAACGCGGCCAATGATCCAATGGCTTTCACAGGCCACGCGAAAGTTGAATTCCAAAGCCCACTCATCATTGCCATATTTGTTCACTCCAATTCGACCAGCCGTTTCAGCGTGGTGTAGGCGGTGACAGAACTAAGGGACTATGGCCCTCATTACATACAAGGTCGCCGAAAACGCCCAAACCCCGGAGGCGTCTGTCGACGCCCCAGGAACGGTTCTCCAAAGAACCCCTGCTCAGTGGCCTGATCAGGCGAGCAACAATGAGGAACGCCCTCCGGGGCGCCCTCTGTTTCGATTCCATCCTGCTTATTTTGTAGCCTCCCACCCCCATCCGTCCTCTCGAGGACACATGGGTCAATGGTCTAACCGCTAAGGCATGCAAAACATGAGTACCCCCCCGCGCGCGCGCGCGCCCTCTGTTTCAATTCTGCTGGTTATTATGTAGCCCCCTGGCAAGACCGTGGCGACCGTGTCGGATCTCGTGGGGGCGTTTCCGCTGGGCCCGTCGTATCACCTCGACGTCCTCCGGCCGGACGGCATCTTCGAGAGCGTGCGGGACCTAGACCTGGGATCGCCGGTGCCTTTCGCGGGGGGAAACATCATCACGTGCAGGTAGGTTTGTGTGCCTTCGCTCGTCTCATTTTTTTTACCTGTACGTGTTCTACGGCTCCTTGATCGTCCGAGGGTTGGTTTGTTTGTCGTGTCGTATGCGTACGTTGGCGTTCGCCTGTTCGTCCCGATTTCCTTAGCTGTTGCACCCGCCTGCAGGCATCTCAAGAGAAGGACACACGTGATCCTTTTGGAAGGCTGTGCATTCGAGCCCACACCTTGGCACGAAAGCAAGGTTAAGAAATGACACAAGCCATCACGCTGCCACTAATGCCACGTACTTTTGGGCAGAGCACCCACCGTCGGTTTATTAGACAAAAACTTTAACTATTCGAATCACCTGCTGCGCATCTCTACCACCGTGTTCATCGTGGCCAGAAAATTGGTGTTTTCGAACCGAAAAATCTTGTAGGATATCGGTTGTACTCAACAAACAATGTTATGTCTCTCCGGACCGCTCAACTTACCCCCCTCGGCGAAAAGAGGGAATCGTTCTCGACAGACGTTGGGGACATGCTACCAGTCTTGATGGCCATCTCCACACCACACACACAAAGAGAAAGGAGAAAATATTCCCGGGTGTTCCACGGCTCTAGCCAGCCGCTTGCTTCTTGTACTCCGCACGTGCGTGGCTGTCCAGCTATGCTTCTTCCGCCATCCCAAGGCGTGGTCTAAGCAATATGCTTCCCTCTCAACGCCTTGTGTCCTGCAGAAGGCCGCAACCATTATAGTACCGAGCTCTGAGCGGGCCGCGAGCCGGCATGTCGAATCAGGGACACCCACGCGCCGTCCCAGGCAGTACAAAGGGCGAGATGCCGTATCACATCGATCTGCGACTCTCTGCAGGTTCGCATTGATGACCCCGTCTGTTCTTGGCCGTGAGGAGCAAGACTTGCCCCCCTTTCATTACGTTTTTCGTGCATGCAGGGTGTTCCGGCTCGCTTGCCCCCCCGGGTACGCCTCCGGAGGCACGGGGAAGATGCTTCCGGTTAGTGCTAGCGGGGTGTGGACCGGACCTGGGCGAGGGTCGCAGCAGCAGCAGCAGCAGCAGCAGCAGCAGCAGCAGCAGTATCATCGGAAGCAAGTGAGAGACCCTCAGTTTTTTTTTTTAAGAGATGATGAATCGGCGTATTAGATACATGGCGAACGGGAGCTCGTGTTCCTGTGTCTGTCTGTTGCTGTTCGCTTCGCAGCGTTGGTTCCAGCTTTGTCGCACTCTCACGAACTCTATATTTTAACACGGAGACTGCGGGCTTGTTTGTTGCAGAGTTTGGTGCTGTTCATTTTCAAAATCCCCGAAACAGCCGTATGCTTCCAGCGTGCTCAACGCAAGGCTCGAGAAACCCGAATCAAGCCCGGAGTGCGCACTCGCGTTGTCCAAGTCCCTGCTTCTACACCAATGATATAACCCTCTCACGTGCTCTGACGTTCGAGGTTCAATCTGCTCCCCTTCCGCCTCACGCTCAATTTTGTCACTACCCTCGCAGCTCTTGACCCACAACAAGGCAGCAGCGCGCGGGGGGCGACCGTTCTAATATCATTTTCGGCGTTCCGCGTACGATTTTCGAGGTTCCATGTACAGTGGGCATCTCGGTTAAGGGACCCCCTGTTTGGCGACATGCTCTGTTTAGCGACCACAAAGTCACGTAGCACCGCCGCACCCCGGTAGTATAACTGCCATATGATTGTCATCTCCGCTTGGCAACCTGACCTGAATAGCGGCCACATTTCGTCGTGACACTAAGGCTCGCTAAACCGGGGCCCCCCGCCGTAATTCACTTCCAACACATCCTCACTAGAAACCACCACCACCTCGCATTGCTCCCTGACGAGGCAGTCCGCGGGGGGCGGCGGCGGCGGGGGCGGCGGCGGCAACGTGGTGAAGGATCTGAAGAAGAACGCCGGGAAGGCCACCAAGGGGCTGTTCGGGCTGGTGAGCGGGGCTGTTCAGCGCACGGCGGAGTACCTGACGCACCAGGAGATGACGGTCGGGGTGTACAAGGTGCAGATCGTGAGAGAGATGGCCGAGGGAGGTGAGAGGTCCATGCAGAAACCTGTCGCATGGCGTTTGTGGGGGAAGCGGCCAAGGTTGTGTGTGTGATGATGAAGAGAGCAGAGGATCGAGGCATTGATGGATGTGAAACGTGTATTCGTTGTTGAGGAAGAGGCCGGGTTGCAAGTAGATGAAGGACGAAGATATCGGGGTGAACGTGAACGGATGGATGTGAAGCCTGTTACGTATCGTTGTTGGAGAAGAGGCCAGGTTAGACATGAACATCAAGAGAAGTGCAGCATCGAGGTGAACGTGAGTGGATGGATGCAAACCCTGTCATCGTTTTTGGAGAAGGGTCGGGTTGCACATAGATGAAGAATGCGACCTGCATGGATAGATGTGGAACCTGTTGGCGTTGTTGGGGAAGCCAAGTTGTGTGTGTATGAAGGTGAAAGAATGCAAGTTCGAGGTGAATAAGGATGGATGGTGTGTCGTGACTGGCCGGCTCGGCAACCGCATTTTCAGAGGGGACAGGGGACGCATTGTGGCGAAGCTCTGTTAGAGAGGGGAGTTGGGAGAGATGGTTGAAAGGAGTAAGGTGACGGAGAGCACGGGACGTTTTGTATCCCGCGGCATGCCTAAGCTGGTCTTCCCGAAACGAACAGACTGTCCCTGGCGGGCGGGGCTGGTCCCCTCTTGGCGACCTTCTTGGGGCGTTTTGCTCTTCCTTGCCGGCTTGGGTTCCGCGTTTTGCGTAGCATGGAGCAGTTTTCCTACGTTCGGCGGTGACCACTGGTCCTGAAGACGAGAGGGAGGCTACATTGAAGGCGCGACAAAGAGAAATTCATGAAAGCCACGAACAGATACCGCTTGCACAAGAGAGAAGATGAAAACCAACGACAGCAGCAGCAGTAGCAGCAGCAGCGGCAACAACAACAACAACAACAACAACAAACAACCAAACGCAACAAGCAGGCTTCAGCACGGTCTATCTGGTCCGCGACGCTCGCACACGAGAACATCTGGCCCTGAAGCGGATGCTGTGCCAGGAACGAGACTCTACCGAGGCCGCCCACCGGGAGGTGCAGGTGCTGAGAGCAGTGGCGCACAGGAACGTCATCGCGTTGCTGGACCAGGTGAGAGTTGTTTTTTTTGTCGTTGTTGTTTTCGCTGCTGCTGCTGCTGCTGCTGCTGCTGCTCTTGCCGTTGATGCTGTTGTTTTTTGTTGTAATTTGTTGTTGCTGGGGAGGCCCTCGCTATTCTTCTGGATGACTGCCTCTGTCGGCTGTCGGTGTTGCTGGTGCCGATATGGTGTTTCTGGAACCGGGCATGTCCTCTTTGATACGTGGTGAAAGGCGTGGAAGAACAGCAATCGAAGGATGACAGTGCAGGGCATGATCGGATGCCTTACTGAAAAGGTTGTGTAAGCGCGGTAACTTGCTCCTACCTTGCTGATCTAGGGGAGCGTGACATCCTCGCGTTCATGTCTTGGAACTTTTTATGTGATCCTTGTGCCTGTCCTTTTTGCAATTCTATCCAGTGACGGTACAACAATCACGCGACGGCCCTCCCCCCTCTTTGTCCCCCGCCGCCGCCCCCACCCCACGATCGGGCTCTACCCCCTCCTCCCCGATGATCGGACGACCCAATAATCACCCCGTTCGACGAAAACCCTCCTCCTCCTCCTCTCGTCCGTGCTCAACCAACCACCACTCCCCCCCGCGCAAGGTGAGCATGCCTTCCAAGACCCACCCTGGCGCCCGCGAGTTCCTGCTCCTCTTCCCGTACTACGAGCGCGGGACCGTCTGGGACGCGATCGTCAAGGCGTCGGAGAACGGCCCGCCGTGGCCATACCCGGAGCCGTCGGCGCTGCGGGTGTTCCTGGACGCGTGCTGCGGGGTCAACGCCATGCACTCGCACGGCTACGCCCACCGGGACATGAAGGTAGGTGTGTCGTGCGTCGTGTGCCGTGTGCCGTGTGCCGTGTGCCGTGTGCCGTGTGTTTGGTGTCGTAGTAGGAAAGTGTGTGTGATGTGTGTTTGTTCCCGCAGGTGCGTGCCTGTTTTTTTGTTGGGAACATGGATGAAGGTGTGTGGGGGTGGTGGTGGTGGTGGTGGTGGCGGTGGTGGGTGCGTGTGTGTGCGTGTGTCGTGTCCAGTGTGTTCTGTGTCTTTGTGGTTAGCATCGACCTCGCCAACCGGATGACCAATGAAAAACACGTCAGTCTCAGTGCGGTTGAAAACACGAAACACTTCTAAATTTCCATGAACTGAGATTTTTTTGTGTGTGTGTGTTGTAGGCGTGGAATGAGCGTTGACCGTGCTGACCGGGTGGCCGATGCAAAGTACTCAGGTCGTGACGAGGGGAGCACCGCGGTCGGCGAGGAGGGGGGGTGGAATGCTTTTGGCCTGTACTCCTACGCCCTCCCATCCCCTCTCCTCTCCCATGCTCCGTTTCCTTGCCTCCTTTCCTTCGCTATCCTCGTCTTTGTTTTCTCCTGCTGACCCTCCCTGAACGTTCTCGCCGTGTGCTCCGCCCCCAACAAATCTTGATGTCAACTTCAATTACTTTCTTTCCGTCTTCTCTCGCCTGTCTCTCTCCCTCCTGCTGTCTCCCCAAGCCTTTGAACCTGCTGGTAGGAGACGATGGTTCGTGCGTGGTGATGGACGTCGGTTCGGCGTGTCCGGCCCGAAGAGAGGTACTGTGCGTGGTGTGCCGGTCGACGAGTGCCTGTGAAGGTGCAGCAGACCGGCTATTAATACATGCCTATTGTACGAGGTTTTTGTCAAGCTTTCCTTCTCCTGGTTGCGAAACGAGAGAGGGCGTGAAGCAGACGAGGGACCCGGTTGCGTATGTGTGCGCGTTGCAGCACCGCCCATGTGCCCCCCCCCGCGCGCTTGGCGGTTGGAAATTTGGCGGCTCTGTCCATGAGTGTCGTGGCATGGTGAACATCCACCACCAAAAATACTACAGGCAGGTTAAATTGTTTCGGCCGAAGAAGGGAGGTGACTTACTGATAGGTCTAGTCGAACAAAGGCTTCTCGAACATGCTTCGCTCGGCAATACATGGCATCCTCTCGGTCGAGGACAATCGGCCCAAGCCAGCCATTGACATTCAACACCGCGAAAAGAAGGTCGAAGAGCGCGTACCGCATGACGTCCCCCAACCAAACACCCGGGGGTTGACAAGCCAACCTTCTCCGCCCTGACCTTGGGCCTGATACTTACGGAGTATCGCCCCCCTCGCCCCCCTCTCTCCATCCCGGTCCCCCGCGCGACCATCCCTTGTTCCCGAAAAAACGAGAAACAGGTTTCCACTCGCAAGGAAGCCCTTTTGCTCGAAGATGAGGCCTCCGTCGTGTGCTCCGCCCCTTACCGCCCCCCGGAGCTGACCACCGTCGAGCCCGGAGCGGTGATCGACGAGAGGGTGGACGTGTGGGCGCTCGGCTGCACGCTGTACGCCATGGCGTTCGGCCACAGCCCGTTCGAGAGCCCGCGGTGAGTAGCACTGGTCGCCCACATTTTTTTTGCGCTTGTTTTGTTCCCGAGGTCGTTTTTCTAGGGGGGGGGGGGGGGGGGAAGGGCATGGTTATTTAAACCTTCGATGGTGCCTACTGAGGTGCTACCAAAGGCCAAAGGCCAAAAGGTGTTTTTAGCCCCTTTTCCAGCGTTCAGCAACCCGGCGATGAATCACCCTGCCCCCGCTTCACTGTTGGGCGCCGGGACGGACGCTGTGGAGCTTCACGGTGGGTGTTGCATGCGCGGCCACGCTGAACTGATGTCCAACGGGTGTTGTTGCACTAAAAGCGGGGGCAGGTGTCACAGACCTCAGCCCGATGCGCTGGGAAATATTCAATGTTGTCTCGAAAAGCTCTATCTAGCATGAGCACGAGCGAGCTGCCGAACTGCGTGTGGTGCTGCCGGTGCTGTTGTATTGTTTTTGTTCACCACTGTCGTCGCTTGTGAAATTCACTCTAAACCTCATCGCCCCCCCCCCCCCCCCCCCCTCCGAAGATGAATGAATACCTCCGTGTTTTATGCCGAGCACACTTGAGGGAAGGAGCTTCTGAGATCTCCTGGCATTTTTCGACCAAGGCATACACGGCAGAGAGTTCTTGTGTGTCCCTGGATCGGGGGTCTTACAAAGCCTCAGGAGGGGAAGAGCACTGCTGTTCCAAAAGGGTAAAAACTACGACAAAGAGAGACCAACAAACTATCCTTTCAAATAAAAAATGTACCCGGCAACCATCATGGACATCTCTTTCTTGCCTTCCACAAACGGCCCTCTTCTCATGCGTGTGTGTTTTTGTGCTTGCGCGGTTCCAGGGAAGGGGTGATGAAGCTCGCCATCCTCAACGGCAAGTTCAGCTTCCCGAGAGGGCGGCGGGGTCCCCTCGGACAGGAGTACTCGACCGGGTTCTGCGAGCTGATTGGCTGGATGCTGACGGCCGATCCGACGTCGCGGCCGCGGTGCCCCGAGATCATCAAGCGGATCCAGGAGCTCATTACCCGGCGGTGACGACAGAAAACACACACGCTTATTGTGTTTTCAACCGCGCTTGAGACTGACGTCTTTTCATTGGTTAGCTGGTTGGCGCGGTCAAAGGCACTGAAACTGAAATCTCTTCATGGGTCGGCTGGTTAGCGCGGTCAACCACACCGGACTGACGTCAATGATTGATCAGCTGGTTATCGTGCGGTCGATGGTAATCATAAAAACACAGCGAGTAGCTCAGCCTCCCCCTCACGGGGTCCCAGATTCATGGATGGCCTTTGGAATCGATTTCTGCTCTCAACCGCACTGAGACCGACGCCTTTCTTTTGTTCGGCCGGTTATAGCGCGGTCAATGCTACTAATACTAACAAAAGAACACATCAACGGTGCTGCCGCAGCTGTGCTGTGTTCGAAGACCGTGCATCTGGACGGCCGTGTTCTAGGTGTATGGTGGTAGCAGGGATCGTACCGGTGTTGGGGGGGCGGCCGCCGCCGCTGCTGCTGCTGCTGCTGCTGCTGCTGCCACCGCTGGTGTGGTCGTGTGTTCTTCTGCCTATTGAGAGTTCGTTAGCGTCTGTTTTAGGTTGGATTTTTCGGCGTCTTCTCGTGACGCGCGAGACTGGTTGAACTGACTCCTTCCTAGCATTCTCGGGAGCAAGCCTCAACCAGCTGATGCGTGGAGCTATCGTAAGAGAGGTAGCTTTAACCAAGTTCGATCCAACAAGAGGGGCGCAGAGCGATAGAGGGAGATATCGACGTCCTTAGCGTTGGGGTTGGATGATGCGGCCGGAGCATGAGCATCCTCAAAAGGCAGAGGTACAAGTTGTAGACATTCAGCAAGGCATCAAACGTGTTGTTCTAGCCTACAGCGCGCGCAAGGGAAAAAAACAAAAATCTCTCCAGACGGGAGCGCTCAGCAGGGTCTCAACAAAAAATCAAACAACTAGCGCCTCTTAATAACGAGTTCTCCGTTTTTAGCGCACAGGGATCTCGACAAAATCTTCCATGAAGACAAAAAAAAATCGCCACACGGAAAGCCCGACGTTCAGCAAGTCGTCAACAAACGGGAGCGCTCAGCAAAGTCTCAACATAAAATCAAACCATTAGCGCCTCTTAAAGAAACGAGTTACTTCTCCGTTTTTAGCGCGCAGGGATCTCGACAAAAATCTTCCATGAAGACAAACAGTAACTCGCCACACGGGAAGCCCGACGTTCAGCAAGGTGTCAACAAAAAAAAAAAAAACGTTGTTCGCCTCTAAAAATATTTCCTCCATTTTTAGCGCAGGGCGATCTTATCAAAAAAATCTTCCATGACATGGTGGTGAACTTGGTTGTCGTTCTAAGCCTCGCCAGGGAATGCCGATCCGATGTAGTTCTTCCCGTCCTCACGGAAGATGTACGTCGTCACCTGCACCCTGCGGTTTCAAAAAACACACGGAACGGCAGTGGGTACACCCAACACCCACGAAAGGCAGGGGACGGGCGGGCGGGGAAGAGGTGAATTTCACGTCAGTCTCCAGGAGGCCTTACAAGCAGAGTATGTAAGGGCGGTATTTGAGGGGTCCCGCCGGGGGCGAAAGCGTGCGCCTTGATCGCATCGCAACGCTCCTCCACACAGCACACCAGAATCGAAGACTCGAGTATGGTTCCACGTCCGGAGACAGCAGTTGGACGCGCATTTCGCCTCGATGTGATCGTCATCGCACTGTGCATCGGGGATGATTTTCCAGGAGAGATTGGCCTCGAAAATCGATGGCAGGCTTAAGCAAAGAGGATCGGGACTCGCGGAAGACGTACGTCAAACACTTAAAAATGGGTTGTGCATGGCGGTTTACAACTTGAGAGCTAGGATGGGATAAAAAACGTTCCGCCGTGCGTACGCTAAACCTGTTGTTGCTCCACCCGTTCCGACAGACAGGGTTGGCCTCATCCTTGGCCTTTTCTTGGGGGCCTCGTGGAAAAAATACCACACGTAGCAGCAACCAACAGCGACAACCAACACGAAGAAAGGCAAGGCGGAGAAGAAGAGAATAAAACGGCAACAGCAGGAACCAAAGACAGGACCCACCTGTACGGGCCGCAATCCACAATCGTCTTCTCCTGTTGCGGCGTGGCAGTCGGGATGACGATAAGAGAAGGTGCGGCGATCAACGAACAAAAACGACGACTCAATCGACACGGCAGTGAGAGGGGGCGACGTGGCGTCGATCATGACAACCAAGACCCCCCCCAAACCGTACGCAACTTGCGGTGCGAGGGGGCACCAACGACCGGGAAGAAAATGTTGAGAAACCTCAACATTCGTGCTGATCAAAACTACAAAACGGAAGGAGGGGGATGAAACGACAAGGACAGGACAGAAACCACGTCATACCCGCGACTCTGCTATATCAAATTTCAGCTTGAGGCCGCAGGGGGGGGCATCCATTGTGTCAGCATGTATGGCCCATTGCTAGTTCTTGTCCCATGGATACCACCACAAGGATGACCACAACAACATCAACAACAACACCAAACACAACAAAAACAGTGCATCGGCCACGCGCGGAGGATGACCTAAAGCGGCTTCCGTTGGAACAGACAAGACACACCTGGTCGAGCAAGAAGAGCAGCGTGTAGAGAGCAATCTCAAACTCCGGCGACACACCGACGAATGAAGAGCTGATCTCCTTCAGCTCACCGTTCCACTATTTCAAAACGGCGGCCAACAAACGGTTCGAACAAGAACAACAAAAATATAAGTACCACCAGCAGCAGCAGCAGCAGCAGCAGCAGCAGCAGCACAGCAGCAACAGCAAGGCAAAACAGAGGGAACACAAAACCACAAGTGCGAACATCACGGGCAGAAAGCCAAAGAAGAGGGCAAGGACAAGCACGGGCGATGGAGAGAATAGGGTGGGCAGCACTGCTATGGATGGACGAGGACCGGAGCAGGGCCGGGGTTAGGAATATAGGCTCACCCTGCCACTGCCCGGAGTTTGCTACAACAATGAACAAGAGGGCCCATGCATCGTGGTCAGGTTGTCTGTGTGTGTCCATGACCTGTCAAGCTGTCCCTTACAACCAATGGTCCGCACACCATACCAGATCAGATCAAAGCGCACGTCCAAGGCGCTTGTTAAGGGGCTCTTCTCCAACGCGATAAAACAACAAACACACAAACGGAGTCCCAGATTATGGCCTTTACAAGCATTTCCTGTTTTTTATTCAGCCGCGCCGAGACTGGCAGTGTTTCGTTGGTCAGCCGGCTAGCGCGGTCGATACCAACTAGACTTCCATCATAAGATAAAAATTTTAAGTGCGGCCATGGCGCGTCAAGCTATCCCTTGCAACCAACGATCTTCACATCATGCCAGTTCGAATAAACAGCACGTCCAAGGCGCGCGATAGTGGCTCTCCTCCAACACTATGCCAATGATACCGTGCACGACGCAAGATAACACACCCCCTGGACCGATTTTCAAAGCCCGATTTCTCAGCAGAAGAAAGAGCCACAGCGCCAAAAACGGCGGCGTTGAAGCCGTCTTGTCGAGGGCGTTCCGATAATGTATCGTTTTGTTTTCTCATCTTCTTCGTCGAAAATCTTGTGTCGTACACGGTAATAAAACACACACACACACACACACACACACACACACACACACACCTCGAACTGTACCGTGACCAGCTGCTCCGTCTCGGCCGGGGTGTCCTCGTAGCCGCGTTTCCGGGGGAAGATGTAGCCCCTGTAGTCGGCGGCGTAAAACCAAAACACAGAGAAAAGGGGGGGGGGGTGTACTCATTTTTCGGCAGCGTGGGGGCAGGGGGGGGGGGGGGGGGGGGTCACCCCCTCCCCTTTTCCCGGGAAAAAAATTTAAACAATCCCCTTTTTCCGGGGGGGGGGGGGGGGGGAACCCTTT